GGGCCGAGTTTGCGCGCCAAGTTTACGGTAGCAAGCAGGCTCGAAGGTGCAGCACCTCCATTGCAAGCGACCACTGTCGTCATTGGAGAATCGAGTCGAGCGCCGACGGATGGCGGAACGAAAGACCGCGGCGGTGGTACATCTACTCGAAACAATTCCATGAAGAAAAATCAATAAGTCATCTATGGGATCAAAGCTCTTTGATCACGAAGGACGAAAACGGTCGCGCTAATGGCTCTGAAAGGAGCGTCGTCGTTTCTGAAGATTTCGGTAGCGGCGACGACGGCCAGTCGCGTTGCCCACAGCACGACCGAAACCTGATGCCCTGACAGTTACGAATTTGTGTCTCTTTCCATCGTGGTTTGTTTCGAACAATCAAATACTTTCACGGATCTACCAACTTCAAGAATCATCCAACAACAGGTAATGACCATTGTCGTTCGCTGTTTCGATGGACGACCTTTGCTGACCTCTGTAAAATTAATGGGCTTCCGCTGCGACCGCCCTTTCACCTTGAAGTGTAATATCTTGTCGCAACGCTTTGTATCGGTTTCAGGTGATCGTTGTTAGCAGCTGGTTCATTGTACGGTAATAACTTTGAACTTAAGAATCAGGAGCTACAGGAACGAATGCGTTTCCTAGGACTGAATTCAAACTTTGAAGCGCGTTAAGCTGATACTGGACCTCTCAACAGGGATATGTTGACTGCACCACTCTCTCAAAAAGTTATCTCCTTTTTATGGTTAATTTTTTTTCAGCTTTAGGCGATTCACCATAAGATCAGGGACTGTTCAGTGGTAGACCTGATCTCTACAGATGTAGCAAATTATCGTTTTGAAGTTCATCATTCAAGTTATTCTGCAACAATCGCAAGTTAAGCAGGCGTGTGCTTTTGACAGTACTTTAAGAAACGAAGCTCGTATCATATGGTCGTAACGTTGAAGCATAACGGCACATTTTGTAAAGCAAGTCAAAAAGAAACTATGCAATGCTCGCTTTGAAAAACTGGGCTGACTACACTTCAGACCATGTGTTCATTCGATTTATCCATTGATAAATTGCCAACCTCGATAATATTGAAAACATGAGGTGAAGATTAATAGTTTTTTATCGATGCATATCAACGACGTGTCCAGATTCTTCACTGAGACGTGCAGATTACGCACTAGTTTCACTACGTTCGTTATGCTAATGAACTGTGGCATGGCCGTCGTTCCTTGGCTACCCTGACAAACCGTATCTTTTTGAAGCAATGAGGAGGATTACGCATTTGATTGGAGGTTTACGGAAGCGGTTGACATAATAAAGTGCTCATCCGGCAACCATTGCTTAGACACATCCGCGATTACACACAATCTGGCCAATCTTCACATATCTTCATCGTCTCTTCATAAACAGGTTTAAATGGTTCAGTTTGGCAAACGGGCTCTATCGTTTGTCTTATCCACCTCTGTTGCACATCTGCAATACGTTATGCTCCGCTAGCTTTTATTGCTTTCTCTTAACACTTCTTATATGTGCGTCTAGATAGCATGACATTGCCCCATGTGGACAGCTTAAACCAATTAATTATACTATGAGAGACGTGTCAGTCCTCGGTTGCCACCGTCTCGCTGGCAGGCCATTTTATAGCTAATGACAGATCTTAACGGGGCAATGACCTGGGAGAAAGCATTAGAATTAGAAGGCATGTTTGTCCTGAAGTGCAGTCGCACGATGGCCTATGGAAAGAGTTCTTTCTTGACGTCTTTATACCATTTGATTCTGAAGAGTCTTATAATCCAATGATTGCATAAGTCAAGTAAGTCGAAAGACTTTAGGAGCAAAGCTAACCAAAGTTTGCATGTCAATTTGCACCTACGTGCATTCAGTTAGGCGACTCTTGTTCGCATTGGTTTGCACTGATTCTGCATCAACTTCCTATAGTATTTTTGTTTGATTTCCTTGTCCTATGGCTAACGCTTTGAGCTCATCTTCTTGTATCCGAGGTAAGTGAGTGAGTAAGTGATGCGAAAGTTCTGCTGTCTGAAAGTTTGTCGTTGGAGGCGCTCAACTCTCCTACAGTGGCTGGACACTGACTGCCACCTTCCATTCATTCTTTCATCTTTCATCCAAATTGTTCAGGCTGTGAGTGTGCCATGGGCGAAAGTCGACCATCCTTCAATCTTTGCTATTGTTCAACGTATTGTGGCAAGTGGCTGTTCGGCAGTTCATTTAACTTGCCAAGCATCGTTGACTGTTTAACATCCCCAAACCTGACGGAGTCCAACGGATCCAGAGAAGTGAAATAATGTATGAGGTAGTGGTTACGGAGTATATTATGGGGTGGTGGCGGACAGCACCACCGCCTCAGCCTGCGGAGTTAGCTCCTACACCACTTTCGGGCCTTGACTTCAGCAGGAGTTCCTTTCCTACTATGCGATTCAAAATTTGCCCTCATTCGCTCCTCTTCTGTCTGTCGTTGTGAAGCATTTCAACAGTAAAATCAAATCAATTTTTGATTACTAGCAAAGTATCGACTCATCACAATATTTTTTAAGAATACAAAATGAACAAATTAAAGTAACTGTTAAACTTTTTCTTTACTGTAGACCTGATATCAATTCCTCTACGATTAAATTTAAGCTTAGCAGCAGGTAAACTTTGCGCAACATTATTTTAATAAAAGTTTCCCACTTTCAATCGTCTGCTAAGAGTCAGAAGTCTTTCTCTGGTATACCACGTTTCTCTCGCATGTACGTTCTAACAGTAACATATGGAAAAAATTACAGTTGAAATAGCATATCGATCTTTGAACAAGGCAAATTGAAAGGTAAGTGGCTTCAAACAATTATCAGCACTGGTTTTCAGAAAATGAGGTAGTATAGACATGAGAATCATATTGCAATTGCACCATTGCCTTTGTGTACCACAATTTGGGAAAGCTGAATGTTTGCCAATAGAAAGACTAGCTAAACTTGATGGCGGACTGTGCTTGATCAAACGATCTGGAATGTATCGATCTCACACGTGATTGGATCCGGCTAAATCACTGATAGTAACAGCATAATAACAATAACAACAATGACATACCAAATTGGTTGAGACGTACAGCCGTGACGTGTGATGCAAGGGCCTTAGACACGATATTGCCCTTGAAACGTCTGACTACTGACTATCCCGCATAATACTCACCACAGTGTGCAAATCTGAGAGCAAATAAATGTATCCACCACTGATGGACTTGAATTAAAAATCATTCGGCCGGTGCAATTCAATTTAGGTCAAAGGAA